TGTTTTTGAACCCTCACAATGTCATGGGCCAGTCTTAAAGTCTAGTTCTAATATATATAGTTCCCTGACACTTTGAAGTTTAGTAACCACCGTTACCTATTGCTGGTATTGCCGGCGGCCTTGTTTCCGCCGGGTTCCCCGTGGTGCTGCTCAGTCTGGTCGGCGGCAGGGTCGGGTAGACAGACGTGATCGTGATGACGGCGTGTGGGGGACCTGCGTTGTGGCTGATGGGGGCACGATGAAGGCCACGCTCTGTTGTTTTGTCTGGGTGTCTGGGTCGGTTTTCCGGTACTGCTTGGGAGGATTCGGCCCGGTGGAATCTGCCGGAGGGCCCAACGAACGTGTCCGCGGCATCACTGGGGGTCGATAGAAGAAAGGGTCTGCGTGAATGGAACTGAGACAAATAATCGCAACGAAGGCGTCATTCATGGCAAATGTTAGAAATTGTCATAAAAAGGGGCATATAATACATTAGGCCCAGCGGCCACCAGAGAACTCTCACTCACTCACTCAGCTCCGCATGAGTCCGTAGCGCCTCTGCATACGGCCCTCCAGGTCTTCCGGTCTCTGGCTGCCACCCAGGCGGAGGTGATGTCAAGTCCTGCAGCCTGTAGGTCGGCAGACAGCAGGTCCGTCCATGTACGCCTCGGTCTCCCTCTAGGGCGGGACCAGGTCGAAGGAGGCGGTTCTCTTACGAGGGAGCCTAGCTCAAGTGGTGGTTCCGCCCTGGCAATGTGGCCGAAGAGACGGAGACGGGCTGAACGGATCTTGCTGGACAGGGGGGGCTGGTTGGTCTGCTCTCTCAGGGCGTCGGTGAAGACGTGGTCGAACCACCTAATCCCCAGGATTCTCCGCTGGCATTTGGAGTCAAAGGCGTCCAAGCGGCGCTCCTGGGCAGCGGTTAAAGTCCAGGTCTCGGCCCCGTACAAGAGGATGGACAGCACGAGACTGTTATACAGCCTGAGTTTGGTGCGGTGGGAGATGTCACTGCTGGCCCAGACGGTGTTGAGGCTGACCATCGCAGAGGCGGCTCGTCCAATGCGGAGCTGAATGTCGGAGTCACTCTTGCAGTCGGTGGTTATGGTGCCTCCAAGGTAGCAAAACCTGTCCACAGCCTCAACAGGGTGGGAGTTGATCACTAACCCAGCCGGGGGGGGGGGGGGTGAGGTAGTCACTGAGGGACTGGACTTTGGTTTTGTTCCAGCTGACCATCAGGCCCAGCGGTTGGGTCTCCACGTCCATGGCCTACAGGGCGAGCTGGAGTATGTCCATGGCCTCAGCAAGGATTGCCACGTCATCGGCGTAGTCCAGGTCGGTGATGGTCACATCGCCGTAGCTAGCACCGCACCCGCACTGTCCCACAACTCCTGCCATGACGTAGTCAATAGCCGTGTTGAAGATGGACGGCGCCAGTACACAACCCTGTCGGACACCGCTGATGATGTCGAAGTTGTCAGACAGCAATCCGTTCACTCTCACACAGGAGACAGTGTCAGAGTAGAGGAGCGAGAGAAGGTTCAGCAGTTTGCCTGGAACTCCAAGGATCCTAAGAATCTTCCAGAGAGCTTGTCTGTCAACAGAGTCGAAGGCTTGCTTGAGGTCCACGTAGGCGGCAAAAAGGTACTTCCTGAACTCTCTTCTCTTCTGAGCCAGGAGTCGGAGGGTCAGGATTCTGTCCACTGTGGAGCGTCCTGGTGTAAAGCCGCTCTGCTCCTTTCTCTGCTTGCGCAGGAGGAGAGGTCGCAGTCTCCCGAGGACAACGTTGGCAAACACCTTTCCTGGAACACTGAGCAAAGTGATCCCCCTGTAGTTGCTGCAGAGGTCCTTGGGACCATTCTTCCAGAAGGGGAGGATGATGCCCTGCAGCCAGTCCTCGGGGATGGTCTCGCTGTTCCAGACAGCTGCAGCTGTAAACAGACGCTGAAGCTGCGCTGCTACGGCAGGTCCTCCATACAGCAGACACTCGGGGGGATGCCATCGGCCCAGCGGCTCTGCCAGGTTTAAGTTTCCGTATGGCCTTGGCCACTTTCTCTAAGGACGGGGGGCAGTAGAAACAGAGTCATCCTCTGTAGCAGCGGCTGCCAGTTCCTCTAGGTACAGGGAGGGAGGGGGCACTGGACGGTTGAGTAGACACTGGAAGTGCTCTCTCCACCGTGCAGTCTGTTGTGCTGGGGTGTCTGGGACGGTTCCATCCAAGGCTTTGACACTGGCAGTTGATGGGGTTGTCTTCCCGGAAAGGGTCCTCAGGGTCCTGTACACGGAGCCTTGGTCACTTCTTCGGGCAGCTGCCTCTGCTTCGCCTGCAAGGCTATCCAGCCATCTTTGCTTGTCCTTACGAAGCAGCTTGTTGCGCTTGCCGTTGAGGCGTCTGTACTCCCCCAGGTTACCTTCCAGTCTGGCAGTTCTTTTTGCCTCCACCACATTAAGGGTTTCCTCGGACAGGAAGTCCTTCTTCTTCTTCCTTCTCTTGTGTCCGAGCACCTTGGTTGCCATAGTGGTGATGCCTTGCTTGAAGTCGTTCCAGAGCTCCTCAGGGTTGTCCACACCTGTGTCTAGGGCTGCAAAACGGTTTTGCAGCTTCAGCTGGAAGCGGGTGGCGACCTCGGGGGACCGCAGCTTGGAGATGTCCACCTTACGCTGTGCGTTGGCAGAGGGGTTCCTCTTCAGTCGCAGCCGTACCGTCATGGCAAGGAGTCTGTGGTCAGAACTTCCCAGCACTGCACTGCGGTAAACACGTCTGTTGAGGTATGCCAGCGCTGGCTGGTGAGAATGTGATCCAGTTCTTTCCTCGTGTGGCCGTCGTTGCTGATCCAAGTCATGCAATGAATGGTCTTGTGAGGGAAGAAGGAACGCTCTGTTCTTAGGCTGTGGTTGGAGCAGAACTCTAAGAGTCTGGAGCCGTTGTTGTTGCGTGTTTGGTTCCCGTGGGATCCCAGGGCTGTCTCGAAGCCGGTTCTGTCAGTCCCTGTAGTGGCATTAAACTCTCCGAGAATCCAGATGATGTCGTGCCTGGAGATGTCCGACACAAGGGCGGCTAGCTGTGTGTAGAACTCGTCCTTCTCCTCATCGTCCGCCATGTCGGTAGGAGCATAGGCAACTATGACGGAGATCATGCCGAAGGTGTGGCGAAGGCGAGCTAGAAGGAGCCTGTTGCTCACTGGTTTCCAGTAGACCAACGCTCGAGAGGCAGAGAGGGCTAGACCCAGAGCAACCCCCTGGCGATGCTGGCCGTCCTCCCGGCCCGACCAGAGAAAGCTGTAGTCGTTTGTTGTGTGGGTGCCGGTGCCAGGCCAGCGAACTTCGGTGAGGCCCGCAACAGTAATGCTCAGACGTGTAAGCTCGTTTGCGACTAGCTCAGCTGATCCCTCTCTGTTCATTGAGAGAACATTCCATGTTGCAACTCTGAACATTTCAGTTCCGTTAGGCTTTACTCGTAGGTCCATTCGGTCGCAGGTCATATTTCCAGTAAGGTCAGTCCTATTAGGGTTCCGTATGCAAGGATTCGTAGCAAGGGTGTTTGACGTGGGGGGTGGGGGGTTGCTAGCCCTCCGCACAACCTCGCCTGTGTTTCTATACCGCCCATCGGGGACTGCGGCGGTGCAGGTGCTATTAGCCGGCAGCAGCTCCCCTGGGAACCGTCCCACCATGGTTGAACCTGCCAGGAGCGGGGGGAGTGCTACAGGTAGACCTGCTAGTTCTCCGCCCAGCCCCCGATGGTATCGCAACCCAAGGTCATTGCAGCGGCCGTTGTCCGGGGCAAACCACTAGGAGGTTAGCACTACTCTGACTTTAACCCCAATAGAGGCCACGCTTTGCAAGAAAAATATCGCGTAAACAATATGATTTTTCACGTGAAGTTACGATCAATGCGTTAGCTAGGGGCCCATTAGATATGGGTAATATGTTCCTGAAATAAAATCACCAGTGAAAATTTTAAAATAGGCCCAGGATGTGTGGCTCATTACCAAAGTTACGCGAAACTGTTTTGACCACGAAACGTTGGCTGTAAGATATTCCCAGTCTTTGTCTGAACATCCTCTTTTCCACGAATACATGACCAAGTCAACGTACCAGGTAACGCTGTTTGCCACTGACGTTTGTTTTTTTACATCTTTTCTCATGCTGATCTACTGATGTCAATAATTGTACTTGTCAAAATGGACATGCTTGAGCTCTCTGTACACGAGATCATGCAGCCATAATCAATGTTTATACTTTAGCTTAGGTAATGGCAACATTCTTACATGATCTGTCATTTTAACCCTACCTAGACGGGGGGGGGGCTAAACGTGCCCGCGCCAATTTTGACGTTGGATAGCGTCCGAACGGCTAGAACCAGCAAACTTGGTGACTTTTCCTAAAATATTGTTGTATAAGTGGAATAAGATGATTTTTGGTGTTGCCATGGCAACGGGTTTCTGACGGCATTTTTTGCTAAATTTAGTAGTTTTCGTTTCAACAATAGAATTTTATGGGTTTTATGTCAAGTTACACATGGTTTCTAATATTGATAATACCTCATGTAATTAAGGGTTAATGACCCACCCCGAGGTGAATATGGTGTGATAAAGCCTTGTCAGTTGCTGTAACCACCGAATAAAGCTATCGAGTGAAGGACAGCGAACGAGGTGGCTTTATGAGCATGAGGTGGTTATAGCAACTGACAAGGCTTTATCACACCATATTCACCGAGAAAGGGCGGGCCATTAACGGTATTATCATATAGCCTATCAAAACTTACACAGTAGAGAGTAACACATTCCTTTGTAACACATACATCTAAATTATATAACAAACCGTTACAGTCACTCCTCTATCTTCCCATCCGCTGGCCACTGTTCCTGTGCTGCGATCTTTCCCGATTCCAAGGACCCACATATTGAGTCTAAATTGGCCTCATTCAGTTCTTCTATGACAAATTCTGCCACACCATTGTCTAAAATTGTATGCCCTTTAGTGTGATGATTTTACCTCTTCTATCAGAGTCCATTTGAGTTCACCGGAACTTCGGAATAGAACCGGTATTGCATTTGTGGTTATTTTGGGCCAGAAGAATAGAGCAAGCTTCCATTTGAAGTCATCTGAGGCCATTTGAATGTTTCAATACAGAAATGTACTTACTAGTGGGGGTGGCGCAAAATATTTTCTTTTCTTTCGCTCAAAATTCACGTATTCATGTATTGACATTTTATTTTGTTATGTATTGCTAAATAAATTGGGTGATGACAAGACGGTAAACATTTCTATTCAACAAGGAAACGTGCTACAAATGTCAGCAAAAAGAGTCAACTCCCCTGCAAATGGTTTGCTCCGGGCCGTGCTTTATTGTGCAACAAAGCACACTTGTGAGAATAAAACACACCTGGCAATACTTGTATCATGCTAACTGTGACATTATGGCGTCATAATCATGGATTATGGCGTCATAAATATGGAATGGGGGCTTCTGATTGGTCAACTCCACCTGGTTATATGATAATATATTTATTATTAAATACAATGTAGAATAAATGACAACCACGCCTTTTTTCTGGTAACGTAATCTTTACTGTATAATGCATAGTACAATTTCGACCACAACTATACTCTGCACTAAATCCTTGAAACTTCTATGAAGTTAAGATCTGCCGTGACGTTCTAAAGGCATATTAACGGTTGTCGAACAGTACCAAGAATGCTCTCCCTAAATATGTATTGTTATATGCTTACCAATGCACAATGAAATATTACTAGTATATATTAACCAGGTAATCATATAGAAAAAAGCGTATCCGAAACACTCAACGTATAGGTTACACATCTATGGTATTGGTCACTATTCCTTGAGCTCCACATTTGTGACTTTGCTATCACTGTCTCCATTCATCTTTCTGCCTTTAAAGTACAGTGCAACTGAGTATTGGTTATTAGGTTTTTTTAACAAAATCCATTATTTTTAACAAAAAGTATATAACCTGCCATCAGCGCCACCTTTCTTGCATGTAAGTTACATTAAAAACGCTTTGTTAAGCCAAGAAGTCAATGCACGATTTACAGCATAATAAACATAAACAGCATTATCTATTGTAGCTAACGATCATCAAATACTATTTCACTAAATAACACATGCCTAGCATTTTCCTAATACGAGACAGATGTAAAGGTATCTGTAGCAAATAGTCTTAGTAGAATTGCAAAAATTAATAGCATAAGCCTGAACTATATGTAAACCAAGCACCAGCCTATGTATAAACATGTTGCACATACACGACCGAATTAAATGGAAAGATAGGAGCTATAATGGTGCATATATGGGCTTCAGAATTGACGTTTCACTTTTCTTATAGGCCTTTCGTGAATGTGAATGTGGATGAATTGGTTTACGGCAGTTGTGATCACATTTGTAACGGCCTCTAACGCTTGAAATTGTTCTATTTGTTTTGTTGTATTTATACTTAAAAGGAATTGTCGTTTGTACACTTACAGACACTTTTAACTGTGATGTCACTAGATCAGTTACACTTTCCAAAAAAACATTATATACCAGTCAGAGATGGTTTTAACAGGAGTTTCTGGCCTTTTATTAGTATTTATTATTTATACTATTTGTTACATAATAATAATATAAGTATTTAGACTCAGAGACTCTGAACTGATCGTCTGGCAATATGAAAAGAAGAAGGTTTAGACTCCAGACTACTAGATATTTGATACGATGCAAGTTACGGCGTTTTAATTTCAAACATGTAATCGCAAGACGTGGTGACGGCACACTCAAGTTTTTTCAACTTATTGTTATAGATCTAAAGAGGACGATGCAGTACTCATTTCCACCAGCGCGGACTGAGGAAAGTCGTATAAAGTGCCTTTCCCAAGGGAACAAGATCGGTGGCATGGCAGGGTTCGAACCCGGGACCTCTTGGTTCCGAGTCCGACACTCTATCGTTACGCCACACATTTATTTTCCTCACAAACATTCAGACAGTGGTTTGAAAAGAGATAGAGCGTTGTGGACCGACCTCTGTCGTCATGTCTCGGATCCTCTGGAGACACTCCATTGCAGAAGGCCTCCTGTTGGCGTTCTTGTGCTGACACTCTCGAACCAGAGTTGCCCACTCCGGTATGGGTCGGACTGATGCTGGTAACTGAGGCATCATCATGGACTCTCCTTCTGTCAGACTCTTTAAGCTCGGATCCTTCTGAAGTAAAGGTATTCAAAAATACTCATTTTGGCAAGCCAAATGGCCCGTTACCGTTAAGCTATTGAGTTGGCCGATCGCAGGCATTAGGATGAAAAAGTTTAAAAAGCAAATCTGTGCTGTTACGGACTCAATTCGTATTTAACCGGTGTGGCCATATATGATTTATTATGTACTGAAATACTTTCATTACAAAAACAAAGTTTTGAACGAACGGGTTGGTACCTTACGTGATTAGATTGTACAGCCCACGTCAAAATAAGCGTCGGCACACTCAATATACCGTATTCATAGATTTGCAAGACGCACCATACATGCATTTATAAGTTAAATCAATTAATTAGTAGTAACTATGTGTTAATTAATTATAATAACGATCACTTACAGTAAATACTACTTCGGAATATATATAAAGGACAGTTACTGAATAAAAGTCAAACTAGTGAGAGATTGATGTAATTAGCGCACTTCAGGGATTTCAACTTTTAACGTTGCCCAGCCACTGACAATGTTAAAAAGTTGAAATCCCTAAAATAAATTCCTACAAGTGCACATCATTACGTACCAGCTTTCTTTTTCATCAACCCGGCAATTTTTATGGCATTGTAATTTCTAATTCTGTTGTGTTTAAAAAAAATATTCAAAATAAACTACAGTACATTGTTTAATAGATAGATAAGTCTTAACCCTACTGTTAGTGTTCTGTTCCTGCATAATGGTTCGGTCCAAAAAGTGGTTGGTTATTCTAATAATCGACCACTTTTTTTAATTATTCACCACTAATGATATTACGGCCTAATAACCGATGGAAAATGGAGACTTCTCGTTGGTCGACGTCGCCCGGCTATATGATAGTAAGTTTTAATTATGTGCATCGATAACTCAGCGTTTCCAAGGACAAGGTAATGGTAATACCATTGCGTTCCAGACGGTTCGTCCATACCACATCTCCCACAGAAGGAGTCCGAGGCTGTAGATGTCTGCACTCTTGTCGTAAAGCTGCCGATTCTTCACCTCTGGTGCTGCGTAGATGGCTGTGCCCGTCACTGTGCCGGTCACGTCCACTTCCCTCTTAGTCACACCGACGTCAGCCAGCTTCACAATGTCACCTGCAGTAACCTACGGAGATGGGTACAGTACATACAACCTTACTACTGGAACCCGGTGGAGACATGTAACGTTACTGTTGATAACCTGTGAAGATTGACCAAGTACATGTAACGTTACTGTTGATAACCTGTGAAGATTGACTAAGTACATGTAACGTTACTACTGATAACTTGACAGTGTGGAGATTAGCTAAGCACACCTACATGGCCGTGAGTGTTGATAGCTTTCATTGTGGTCGTGTAGAGGCTGCAGCATTATTTGAAAGTAGTATATCCGCATTGTGAACTTAAACAATCACACAAACGTGGCGTGACAACAGAATTACATACTGGTAGGAAATTGAAACTCTACTGCTGAAAAAATTACGGAGATAATTTTGCGGAAGTTAGTAGAGTTTGAATGTCCTATGAGTATTGTTTACCTGAATGCCTAACGTAACAAAATTATATGCTTGTTCAGAAAACTGACCAGCACATTGATGAGCTTGAGGTCCCTG